GCACCAATGCACTTAATGACAGTCCCAGTTAAACTGTGAGCAGTATAGGTACAGTAAAGGGTATGGTATAGCCTCAGCACAGGTGCAAGGTATATGTGGTTCAGGTGCGATAAAGGTTTGGTATAATGTAGTATACGGTTGGTATAGGTGCCATCTAGGTTAGAATAAGTGAGGTATTGGGTGCAGTATAGGAGCATTATGAATTGGGTAAATGTGGTGTCCTGCTCTGAGTGGCTTATTCCCTGTTTTTAGTATCAGCAGTAAGCGAACAGCCCTCAGGATGCTGCTATGACCACTTAATGTAGAAGGTAGCCTCCGGTGATCAGCAATGGGAAGCAGACGGTGAGTGAAAGCTCCAGTCTACCTGCAGCAGTAGTGCTGCTGCAATGATGTGGGCAGTGCTGTGCTGCTCCCAGGTGAACTCATTCCCATTCTCAGGCTCGGATCTCCTCTGCTATGGTTCTCTCTCTAATTCCCACAGTCCAAAGAGGAAGAACTTTCCCAGGCATTTAATAGGAATACTCTCTCCACTCCTCCTACTGCACAGTACACATTGAGATCTGGACTGTAACCATTATAGCTTGGCCATTACGTAGCTGCCATCTAAAACTACAACTCCTACGATTCTCACCGCTCTGCAAATAATTCTATGGGCTTGCTTGGCTTTTAACTCTCCTCCTGCTGGCCAGAGGAAGATGGTGCAACATAACGTCACAATCTTAGAAGAACGAGACAAGAATAAAGAGCACAGGGGTCAATTCACTAAAGGATTTTGCATTATGGTCATGTGACCCATTTTTCAAAAGTATCGCATGAGAAAATATCAGAGTCAATTGATCAAAGTAAAATATCGAATGTGAGGTAAATACAGCAAGATAAATAAGTCAATTTATTAAAGAACACACACATACGGTATCTACAGCCTGCCAGTAGTATTTTAGCTGGTATTTTAGTAATGTACAAAGTAACAGTGAGGGGAACTCTGCACTGGCCAGTAAGATAAAACTATGCAATGTATCAGTGTGGAAATGTTCTGCCCTGAGCTCAGGAGTGAAAATAAATTGTAACATTTCACCAGAGGGAGATTGTTCTGTGAATGAAAGGACAACATAATAATTTTTTCACAGTTTCATATTCCTGTGTGCATTTATTTAAGAAAAAATGTGATAAATGTAGCAAAACATATATATATTTATTGCCTTTGGTAAATAACACATTTTTTAGTGAGTTGACTACTTTTGAGATAAATACTGCATGAGTTATTTTAACTCAAAAATGAATGCGGTATTTATTTCTTAGTGAATTAACACACCTGTCTCCATCTCCATATTGCTATAGCCCAGAACTTGGCTACACTATTTAATGAAACATAGATTACAGGGCTATCAGGTAGTGGATGTATACGGACTATTTCAGATAATAAGGATATTGTTTAGTGTCACTTTAAGTATTGGTAAGCTGCAATATATTACATTTTCTAGTGTTTAATACTACTTTATCATGTTAATATAATTGTCAATGTTTTAACTTCTGCAGCTGTCATCAAAATAATACTAGGTAATCTTGTCATAAAGGTTAAATTTCCTCCATAAATCACGAGGGCGTGACGAAACATGTTAGGGCTGGGCCTACGCCATCACATCTATCGGACGTACTGCTGGTTTGCAGGAGAAAGATGAAGCTGAGGTCTAAAGCCTTAAAGCGGAACTTCATGTAGCATTTACTTCCTGGAATCCATCTGCCCTTAGCTCAGGCATGCAGGCAGAAGGGTGTGCTTAGCTAAGAAAACCCTTCCTCCCCTCCTGAAGACTTCTGGGATGTATGACATAATTTGCCTAGGCATGGAAACCAGGAAGTAACAGAAGAAATGTTAAAAAAAAGCTTAAAAAAGTAAATATAATATACTTTCTTATCTGTTTACTAATGCTAGGAGCATAAGGAATAAAAATAGTCAATGTTAACTGAGAGAGTAAAGTTCCACTTTAAGGAGACACTATATTGTGGAAAGCATTTTAAGGGGTGCCCTGCTTGTGGAGTACACTTTTTTTGTGAGTGTACAGTGCATCCAGAAAGTACAGTATTGACAGAGTTTAACTTTTCCCACATTTTGTTATGTTACAGCCTTATTCCAAAATGGATTAAATAAATTTTTTCCTCAACATTCTACAAACAATACCCCATAATGACAACGTCAAAAAAGTTTGTTTTGAAATCTTTGCAATTTATTAAAAATAAAAAATGAAAAAAATCCCATGTACATACTGTAAGTATTCACAGTCTTTGCTCACTACTTTGTTGAAGCACCTTCAGCACCAATTACAGCCTCAAGTCATTTTCAGTATGATGCTGCAAGCTTGGCACACCTATTTGTGGGCAATTTCTCCCATTCTTCTGTGCAGTGCCTCTCAAACTACATCAGGTTGGATGGGGAGCATCGGTACACAGCCATTTTCAGATCTCTCCAGAGACGTTCAATCGGGTTCAAGTCTGGGCTCTAGCTGGGCCACTCCAGGGCATTAACAGAGTTGGCCCGTAGCCACTCCTTTGTTATGTGGGCTGTGTGCTTAGGGTCGTTGTCCTTTTGAAAGATGAACCGTCACTCCAGTCTAAAGTCCAGAGCGTTCTGGAACAGGTTTTCATCAAGGATTGCTGCTTTCATCTTTCCTTTGATCCTGCCTAGTCTCCCAGTTTCTGCTGCTGAAAAACATCCCCACAGCATGATCTGCCACCACCATGCTTCACTGTAGGGATGGTATTGGCCAGGTGGTGAGCAGTGCCTGGTTTCCTCCAGACATGACAATTGGCATTCAGGCCAAAGAGTTCAATTTTTGTTTCATCAGACCAGAGAGTTTTGTTTCTCTTGGTCTGAGAGTCCCTCAAGTGCCTATTGGCAAACTCCAGGAGGGCTGCCATTTGCCTTTTACTGAGGAGTGGCTTCCGTCATGCCACTCTAACATACAGGCCTGATTGTTGGAGTGCTGCAGAGATGGTTGTTCTTCTGGAAGGTTCTCCTCTCTCCACAGGAAAACGCTGGAGCTCTTTCAGAGTGACCATTGTCTTGCGTGGTTACCTCCCTGGCTAAGGCCCTTCTCCCTCGATTGCTCGTTTTGGCCAGACGGCCCTCTCTAGAAAGATTCCTGGTGGTTCCAAACTTCTTCCATTTACAGATGATGGAGGCCACTGTGCTCATTGGGACCTTTAATGCTGCAGAAATATTTCTGTACCCTTCCCCAGGTCTGTGCCTTGATACAATCCTGTCTTGGAGGTCTACAGACAATTCCTTGGACTTAATGACTTGGTTTGTGCTCTGACATGCACTGTTAACTGTGGGACCTTACAGTATATAGACCGGTTTATGCCTTTCCTAATCATGTCCAATCAACTGATTTTCCCACAGGTGGACTCCAATCAAGTTGTGGAAACATCTCAAGGATGAACAGTGGGAACAGGATGCACCAGAGCTCAATTTTGAGTGTCATAGCAAAGGCTGTGAATACCTATGTACATGTGTTTTTTTTTATTTTTTATTTTTAATAAATTGCAAAGATTTCCAAATGAACTTCTTTCACGTTGTCATTATGGGGTATTGTTTGTAGAATGTTGAGGAAAAAAATTTATTTAATCTATTTTGGAATATGGCTGTAACATAACAAAATGTGGCAAAAGTTAAGCGCTGTGAAGCTTTTTGGATGCACTGTACATCTCCTTCTATTCCAGAAGATTGAATCCCCTTCCTGACCATGACATTTTTTGCCTTTTTGGCACTGTGCAACTTTAACTGGCAATTGCACGGTCATGCAACACAGTACTCAAATTATATTTCTATAATAGAGATTTATATATAGAGATTTTTTTTTGTCGCCCTATAGTCCTGCACAGCCAGGCAACACGCATTATCCATTCAGACTTGCATCCAGGAGACAGTAACTAGTCCTTGAGCTTGTTTTTTTAATTTTATTAGAGGATTTAGAACTTGGATAGAGTAGGGGTGTATGGGATGCCCAACGGTATGGCAACAGAGGACAATCTTCCTGAACTATGTACAAGTCTCTTTTAGCAACAACAAAACAAATTCTTCTTCTTGGCGAGCTAGCCAGCATCTCCTGTAGTACCACTCCAGACCCTAGATGCTCCTTTTCCAGTTGTCCTGAGTGAATCCCTGGGCGGGGGATCCAGTGTCTGTCACTTTAAATAAAAGACAGCCCTGGGTACCAGCTAATCCAGTTTCCCACCAAAGTGCTCCTTCCCCTTATTGACCCAGTGGGTGCAGGTCTACTCACTCTCCTATGAGCTGCTGGGTTAGTGGCTGGTCTCAGGCCTTCTGCTGGGCCACTCCTTCCCTGCTGCATACGTGTTTCTCTTTCCAGGGGCCGGTGAAGTCCTGAGCATTCCTCCTTTCAAGCTCCTCTGCCTGTAGGTGAGCCCCTCTCCATCTGGACTCCCTCCCATTCTCCTGTTCTCCAGCCTCAGTTCTCCATCTTCCACCTGAACTCTCCTTCTGCTGCTGAGTGGGCTCAGTCACTCTTAAGGGTTGTCCTGGCTCTACAGCAAGCCTCCTGTTGGGGATTGGTCAGGATCCCTTCAGAGTGCAAACCAGCCACTCCTCACTACCTCCCACTGCTTCTAGAATTTTCTTCAAAACTCTAGAGCATTTTCACAATGTATGCACAATAATACACAGTTTTTTATCATTTTTATTATTATTTTTTTCCTTGTGTAACCTCTTCTGGGCTATAGTCTCTGCAAAAAAGATTTATTGGTAATATTGCTGTACACAAAAAGGATGTAAAGGATAGAGGCTATAATGTCTAAACCGCTGGCAACAAAAATGAGTACACCCCTAAGTAAAAATGTCCAAATTGGGCCCAATTAGCCATTTTCCCTCCCCGATGTTATGTGACTCGATAGTGGTACAAGGTCTCAGGTGTGAATGGGGAGCAGGCATGTAAAATTTGGTGTTATCACTGTCACTCTCTCCTACTGGTCACTGGAAGTTCAACATGGCACCTCATGGCAAAGAACTCTCTGGGGATCTGAAAAAAAGAATTGTTGCTGTACATAAATATGGCCTAGGCTATAAGAAGATTGCCAAGACCCTGAAACTGAGCTGCAGCACGGTGGCCACGACTATACAGCGGTTTAACAGGACGGGTTCCACTCAGAACAGGCCTCACCATGGTCGACCAAAGAAGTTGAGTGCACGTGCTCAGCGTCATATCCAGAGGTTGTCTTTGGGAAATAGATGTATGAGTGCTGCCATCATTGCTTCAGAGGTTAGAGGGGTGGGGGTCAGCCTATCAGTGCTCAGACCATACGCCGCACACTACATCAAATTGGTCTGCATGGCTGTTGTCCCAGAAGGAAGCCTCTTGTAAACATGATGCACAAGAAAGCCTGCAGTTTGCTGAAGACAAGCAGACTAAGGACATGGATTACTGGAACCATGTCCTGTGGTCTGGTTCAGATGGTGTCAACGTGTGTGGCAGCAACCAGGTGAGGAGTACAAAGACAAGTGTGTTTTTTGCCTAGAGTCTAGCATGGTGGTAGGAGTGTCATGGTTTGGGGCTGCATGAGTGCTGCCAGCACTGGGGAACTACAGTTCATTGAGGGAACCATGAATGCCAACTTGTACTGTGACATACTGAAGCAGAGCATGATCCCCTCCCTTTGGTGACTGGGCTGCAGGTCAGTCAGTATTCCAACATAATGACCCCAAACCAGGGGTGGACTGACAACTCATGGGGCCCCCGGGCAATAGGGGATCATAGGGCCCCTGTGTCCTTGCCCAAACTCAAAAAAGCCTATGAAAAAGGTACCAGGAGCATCTCATGGGGCCCCCTACTGACCCCGGGCCCTCGGGCAGTGCCCGAGTTTCCAAATGGTCAGTCCGCCCCTGCCCCAAACACACCTCCAAGATGACCACTGCCTTGCTAAAGAAGCTGAGGGTAAAGGTGATGGACTGGTCAAGCATGTCTCCAGACCTAAACTCATCAACTCATAAAGCATCTGTGGGTCATCCTGAAATGGAAGGTGAAGGAGCGCAAGGTCTCTAACATCCACCAGCTCCGTGATGTCATCATGGAGGAGTGGAAGAGGACTTCGGTGGCAACCTGTGAAGCTCTGGTGAACTCCATGCCCAAGAGGGTTAAGGCAGTGCTGGAAAATAATGGTGGCCACACAAAATATTGACACTTTGGGGCCCAATTTGGACATTTTCACTTAGGAGTGTACTCAATTTTGTTGCCAGCAGTTTAGACATTAATGGCTGTGTGTTGAGTTATTTTGAGGGGACAGTAAATTTACACTGTTATACAAGCTCTACACTCACTACTTTACATTGTAGCAAAGTGTAATTTCTTCAGTGTTGTCACATGAGAGATAAAATAAAATATTTACAAAAATGTGAGGGGTGTACTCACTTCTGTGAGACTGTATATTTGTTGGTTTATTGAGATTTGTTGTCACTGTCTCTGGTGCTAGCTGCTTCTACTTGTATAGTGCTCGCCATTTGCATTTTGAAATTATTTATGGCTGCTTTAAAGCATCAAAACTAGATGGCTATAGTTGTGAGATAATGTATGTCAAAAATATAAACAGACACAGTGGTGTTGTGCGGCACTTTTTATTTGTATTTATTGCTAAAATACATATATGTAGACAGCAAGTGGCTGCAGAGAGGCTACCGCAGGCTAGCATCATTAAAATGTAGCAAAAGATGAAAAAGAAAGAAAAGTCAAAACAAGTATGAAAAAACATGATAATTAAGTGTTCTTGCATGGCAAGACCACTTACTGTTATCTCACATATATATTCTTATTATTATAGCCAAATTTACCACCCTAACTCCTCCCACAGTTTTTACACTACATAGACAGTAATGAACCGAAATGTGCGGATTGTTCCCGATTGGTGTGCTATTACTTTGTGGAACGTTTCGCCGAATGGTTCACGAAATATCGGCCTTTTTGTGATGAAATTGGTCCCATAGGAATGAATGGCGGAATGTTCAAAACTAGAGTGGGAGCTGACAAAAGCTAGAGTGTGAGCTGAAAAATCTAAACTGCCATCACTCCCTCATTTTCAAGCCCACCTACACAAATCGTATATCAAAACATTCAGCTATCCCTGCTGCCACTAAAAATGTCCACGGCTAAGCCATAGTCCTGATAGTTTTCACAATATGACCATTTGTTTGCAACTCACGCCGCCCATTGACATTCATTGAAACTCCACTCTAGCCACCTCAAATTTGAAAGGCAATTTCTAAACTGTGATTGTGCCTTCATTTTTAATATTTCAGAGACATACTATGCATCAAAATGTAGGTCTGGGTCTTGTGATTCTCACAATATAAAGCTCTTTGCTGTAGGATTTATAGTTTTTAAAAACTATGACCATTTGAAGACGCCAGTGAAGTGAGCAATTTGGAGCAGTTTCTTTTTAACCGCTCTTCTCTGCCCTATTTGAAATCTAATTTTGAATTTGTGACAGTTTGGCCGGCTTCTGGTAAAAGGTTTGGAAATAAGTTTTCTACATTAGAGAGTATTTGAGGTGATAATTCTGCTAATGTTTTTATAAATGTATGTTTTAATGTAACTGTGAAGCACTTTGGGCAACAACATTGCAATTAAATATTCTATATAAATAATTAAAAGTTGAAATGCATTTCTCACTCTATCAAGCTTGCCATGTGCACTTTTTAAATTTGATCAATCAATTGGTTAGTGTAATGTTTACTATCTTTACTCACTCCAAACACTCCACACAGTTACTCTGCCCACTCCATAAAGTTACTCTGCCCAGTCCAATCTTAAGTCACAATTTTCACAATTACTCCAGCCACTCCAACCACACAACAGTTACTCAAGCCACTTCCACCCAGTTACTCCGCCCACTCCATTTGTAGACTACTGGTGGGGGCAAGAACACTTCACACAATTTCCCCAGAAATTGTAGCTTTTCTAGTTATAAATAATAATATATAGTGATTTAGCAAAATAAATGTCAGACATTTAGGGTTTATATGTACTGTAATATCTGGAGTACTGACTTGGAGATGTGAGCTGTCCTACCTTCCTAAAACTTTATCATGATAAACTTTATTTATTAGGTTTTGTCATGTCAGTGTTCAGACAGTAAACTCTGCTGACTCTTGCAGTTTTCCAGTGATCAGTTCTATGCGGTATGCGCTCAGGCTCAGGAGGGGGGTCTAGAGGGAAGCTTGTGATATGATTATATCTCTTCCTATTTATTAGAAGATTCGGTACTTGCTCTGCTACTGAAGAGAGATATAACAAAATAAATAAACTTCAAACAAAAATAAAAACTGTTAGCGATATTTAATTAGTTATGGTTTAGTTGATAACATCTAGTGTTGGAAGTGTTTGTCGGTATTGCTTTACTGCAGATTTTACACAATGTCATCTGGCTGGTACATTTTTATAGCTGAAGTTTAGGTGTGGCAATTTATACATAGTTATATTGGTCCAACTTAGTCCAATGTAAGTAGGTGTGTACCATACCTGTGGGATCCCTGTGGAAGCTGGAAATCACTGTAGTAGGTACAGTTTTGCTATCATAGTGATCTCCACTAGCTTCCAGTTATTATTATAATACAGTATTTATAAAGCGCCAACAGTTCACTCAGCACTGTACATTACAAAGGGGGACAGAACATACGACAGTACAGTAACAATACAATGCGATACATGAGGGGTTCGAGGGCCCTGCTCTTTCGAGCTTACAATCTAGGAGATCCTGTGCTGAGTGGCTGCATTGCTGCAATGTGAACACTAGAGGTTGCTCGCTTGGTACTGGTACCATTCAGGGAATACTTTACATTTGTGTATGCATGTATGTGTTTTTTTTTTTTTCAGTTGGTTGAACTAGATGGAGTTGTGTATTTTTTAACCACTTGCCCTCCAGAGGATTTACCCCCTTTCCTGACCAGGTCATTTTTTGCGATACGGAGCTGCATTACTTTAACTGACAATTGCGCGGTCATGCAACGTTGCACATAAATTCAATTTATGTCCCTTTTTTCTCACAAATAGAGTTTTTTTTCTGTGGTATTTGATCACCTGTGCATTTTTTATTTCTTGCGCTATAAGCAGAAACCCCAACAATTTAAAAAAACTCCAATATTTTTTACATTTGCTATAAAACATATCCAGTAAAAAAAATTCTAAAAATAAAATGTCTTCATAAATTTACGCCAAAATGTATTCTGCTACATGTGTTTGCCAAAAAAATCCTAATACGTGTAATATAATTGGTGTATGTGAAAGTTATACAAGCGTCTACAAATGGCTGTATATATAGTGGAATTTTTACTTTTACTTTGTTAGTAATGGTGGCTATCAGCAACTTATTGAGGAAGTGCGGCGGGCATTCTGACACTGGGGGGGGGAGCTTACTAACTGCCTCTGATATCGCTAGTGACACTAATACAGTGATCAGTGGTAATAAAAAAGCACTGACACTGTACTAATGACACTGGACAGGAAGGGGTTAACATCTGGGGCAATCAAAGGGTTAACAGTGTACTGTGTGTTTTTTACATACATAATGTGCTGTGTGTGATTTACTAGGGAGACAAGCTGCTTTGTATTGCTCTGCAGAGCAATAGAAAGCAGCCTGTTCATGCTGACGGGAGAGATCTGTGTTGTTTACATAGAGACCTTTCCCCTGTCAGCTCTGCTGATGATCACCGACTCCAGGCCAAGAATCGGCGTCCGGGGATTGGCATGCATTGGAGCCAATAGTGGCGCAGGTAGGGAGCGCCTGAGCGCGCATGTTCCCTACCTGGAAAAATGAAATCATGTGTGTGTATATATTATACAGTATATGTGTGATTTTGTGTATCCCTACTGCCCTGTAGCAGTACTTCTGATATATGGTGGTCTGAAATCTGTTAACAAGACTAACTATATAACTATGTTTTCTGGTTGGATGAGGCAGAGATTGTGACATCATTGATCTACCTCTCCCCATCAAAATTCAGTTTTTTTGGGTGAAGATCCATTTTAATATCTAGCAAAGCAATCTGATTAGATAGGAGGTCATCAGATAGACCCCCACTTTATCCATATCTCTCTGCTAGCCTTCTTCCAAAGGTAGTGTCCTTACTGACTAGCAAGCAATGTTCTGACATTAGCCAGGGGGCTAGCAGGAAGCCGGGCCTAACACTGATGGGGTTGTTTTTTGCCTAATGTTGAGTTCTCACTACCAGACTCTCAAATGGGACAGCAAAAAAATGGTGGCAGCAATATAACCTAACTGTTCTCACATGATGTTACAATTTCACCTGAGAAATCATTAGCAGTAGGTAAAGTGGAACTTTAAGTTCTGCTAGATCACTTTATTCTGGCCCCTATTGCATGTAAAGCATTAAACATAAGTGTCTATACTATTTAAAATCCAGTAATACACTGTCTCACCCTGCTCTGCACATGCTCAGTTGCTCTCTATTTCTTTGCACTGTGCCGAATATACTATATAGAGGCTGATCTGCTAACAGCCTAAAGATTTATTGCTGCTCATAGGTTCTGGGCTTCAGCAAAATGGTAACCAGCCTCCAGCAAGAAGAAATAGAAACAATGCTGGAGGCAAGTTACAGCGCACACTACTTTTGGTAGCATAATTAATAATGTGGTATGTATGTTTCTTGCTAAAGATCATTATTGTTTATCAAGTTGTTATGGGTAAATTTCCACTTTAGAGGTGATGTTTTCTCATGTCCTACAGTCCTGTTCTTAAAATTACATTTATTTTATTTTTTTTGTATTTCAAATCTACTAAAATGCTCATGGGACGTAAATGAGATACATCATGCCATCAACAAATGTTACATCAAACATCAATACTTTATTTTATCAAAAGGTAACTTTTTTTTTTTCTTTACAATACAAAAAATATTCAAAAGAAAATGAAAGCTGATTTTCTGTTGTCAATCAGTTCTACTGCACTTGTTTTTGCTGTCATTAGTGGCTATTGTGATCCTTAAAGTGAGCTCCATCCAAAAGGGGAAGTTCCACTTTAGGACTGGTCCCTTGCTCCCTTTGAAGAATTTGCACCTTTGGAGAGTGGGGGGCGGGGAAGGAGGTAACCGGTTTTGACAGGTACTCGCTCCCACTTCTGCTCCAACCGCTAGGCATTCGGTAGCAGAAGTTGTCCTGCCCCCTCCCTCCCAGCAGTCTTCTGGGACACGTGAAAGGTCCCAGAAGACTACGGGACCATTCATGAAGTGCAGCGCTACTCATGCATGTACAGTGAAGCTGCAAGCTGTCACAACTTCTGGTGCCTGGGAGAAAGGATGGCCAGTGAACCTGGCTGGTGTGAACACACTGATGGATCATGGGACAGGCGAGGGGATGTTTTTTTTTAACCGCCTCCCACCCGACATATAAGGTAATGACGGGCGCAAGGCGGTTATCTCGTTCTGGGAGGACGTCATATGACCTCCTCCCACTCTAACCACACGTGCACGGCTTTGGGAGCACGCAGCGTGGCGATCGGTGGTGCACTGTGTCCCTCAGACACAGCGGATCAACGATCAACGAAAAGAGCCAAAGATGTCGGCTCGGTCATGTGATCAGCAGTGTCCAGTCACAGCTGATCACGTGTAAATAAGGAAATGACGATTATTGGCATTTCTCTCCTCACGGGCTGTCACGCTGACAGCTCGAGAGGCGAGGAGAGCCTGTATTCGGCATTCTTCAGAGGGGACATGTACACTAATCATCAGAGCACTGATGATCAGTGTAGCCCCAGCAGTGCCACCTGTCAGCGCCCATCAATGCCAGCTGTCAGTGCTCATCAATGCCACCTGCCAGTTCCCATCAGTGCTTCATCAATGCCACATATCAGTGACTTCCAGTGCACGTCAATGCCACATATCAGTGCCCATCTGAGCTGCCTTTCAGTGTCACCTATCAGTGCCAGTCAGTGCCACCTATCAGTGCTGCCAATCAGTGCCGCCATCAAATGCCACCTAACAGTGCCAGTCAGTGCTGCCTATCAGTGCCAGTCAGTGCCGACTATCAGTCCCATATATGAGTGCTGCCTTTCAGTGCCCATCAGTGATGCCTGTTAATGCCCATCAGTGCCACCTACTAGTGCCTCCTCATCAATGCTCATCAGTGCCCATCAGTGCAGCCTATCAGTGCTCATCACTGCAGCCTCATTAGTGCACATCAGTGAAGAAGAAAAATCACTTATTTACAAAATTTTATAACAAAAACTATGAAAAGTCTATTTTTTTTTTTTTTTTAAATCAGTTGTTTTTGGTTTGTTTAGCAAAAAATAAAAACCCCAGAGATGAATAAATACCACCAAAAGAAAGCTCTATCTGTCTCAAAACAATTATAAAAATTTCATATGGGTACAGTGTTGCATGACCGCGCAATTGTCATTCAAAGTGCAACAGTGCTGAAAATTGAAAACTGGCCTGGGCAGAAAGGGGGTATAAGTGTCCTGTAGGGTAGTGGTTAAAGTCAGCAGCTACAGTTTTTGTAGTTTTTGTAGCTGCTAACTTTTCTTTTTTTCAGATTTGACTGGAGCTCCGCTTTAAACATCTGCGCCCTTGGACCCTCCTGTTGCTCCTTTGTGCCTCCTTCCCACAGTTCCTGAGGTAGACACTGCTGAAGGGTACCATCTGAAAATGTTTCAGTTATAACTCATATTTTAGGCTGAATAATCCCTTCACGACAACTGTACACATATATGGGGTCCTGCAGAACTGGGGCGCATCAGTGTTTGTGCTAGGAATGTGCCACACATCGCGCTCCCAACACAGATACCGAGCTGTCACTGGGATGCACGGGACCAATGATCGGGACCTGGGACTCTTGGTTCTGGGTCACCTGATTGCTGTGATAGACAAAATAAAGAAAAAATACCTAGATCAATGTTATATCTGCACCAGTGCCAGGGTTAGTGTTAGGTACAAATAAAGGTCAATGTCAGGGTCAATGGTCATGCTTAATGGTCATGATCCATACATTTTTGGCAGCATTTTTTTTTTTTTTTAAAGCATTTTTAGAAGTAGTATCAGTGTCAGTTAGGGTCAGTGTCAGGGTGTTTTAGATAAGATAAAAAAAAGAAAAATGTAAACTATTGTTTCTGGGCCTTACTGCGGGTACAAACAACAACTAACACACACATATGGTGTATTTCTGCGATCCTCAGGAGCAGGAGAATTTATTTTGTGTTGTTCTTTGGGGGAAGGTTATGGTATTAGCAAGAAATATACAGCTAAATTAAAAAAAAATATATTTTTTGGGTGATAATAAAATAAAAAAAAATCAGGAGATATCTATTACCATTTACTACCAAAAGAAAGACCAAATTTGTCCTGAAAAAAACAAGGTATAATCCAACTGGATGCAAAAAGTAGTTGTGATGATATACTATGTTTTTACTAACAGATGTCAAAGTTGCAAAATTGTGTTTAGGCATTAAGATTTGTTTTACTGTTAGTCACTAAGGGGTTAATACCCTGTCAGTACCACCCAATCCTGATGAAGTGAATGCATATTCACAAAACGCGTTGAGATTGGTGATGTGTTTTTATTTCTTTTGTTTAATTTGTAATTTTTGCAAAACATCAGCATGAGTGTTGATATAAAACATGAGATCATGTACAGGCAGTCCCTGGGTTAAGAACAAGGTTCTGTAGGTTTGTTCTTGAGTTGAATTTGTATGTCAGTTGTAACAGATACATTTTTTTTAAGTGTTATTCCAGCCAAAAAATCATTTGTAAGTTTTGGATATCATAGGGAAGGATTAACTGGCCATTCAGTGAAGTCCACCGTTGACTGCATGCATTAAGCAGCAAGATGACTGCCCACCAGTTTCCATGACCAGCGTGACATCACGCTGCCTCAGTTCTTAAAGCGGAGTTCCAGCCATTTTTTTTTCTTCCCTGGAAGACAATGGCCACCCTCTTCACAGGACATTTTGGCAATATATAATTTTAGTTTTTTTCCTAAATACCTTATTTTTAGAATTATTGTCTCCACTTCTGGTCCCAGCCGCCTAGGCAATTTCATCATTAGGCATTCCCTAGGGCTTCTGGGATATCGGCGTCATCTATCCCAGGAGTCCTAGGGAACGCCTAATAGCAAAATCTTGTTATATTACGAGACCAGATGTGACGCAATCGCGATTCTGGGAGGAAGCGCAGGCTCTCTCCAGTACACTGCCACCGCAAATGGATGTAAGCGGGAACTTCCACCTGCGTCGCTATTGCTATGGCAACCATGAATACAGGGAAACCACCGCACCTTTTTCACACCACGCAGGTGCAAGATCGGGAAGTGCATGATGGGTAGCCAGCTGCACAATTTTGCGGAAGAGTGTCCAAGCGTTCCTCAGGTGCCCACACTCAAGATGAAAGCTTTCAGAATATGAGGGTGCAGTAAGTAATTTTTTTTATAAAAGGTACACAGAGGATTACAAGTACAGTTGATCTCAAATTGCATGGCATAAGCTGCCACTCTCACGGGGGGGCTTTTAAAAAAAAATTTTAAAATGGCTGGAACTCTGTTTTAAGTATGAGCCATATGTAAATTGTTGTTTGTAACTCGGGGACTGCCTGTATTAGCAATGCTAAGGAGATTGACAACAGAAAATTACCTTTCATTTTCTTTTAAATATTTTTTGTATTGTAAAGGAATACATAAATTAAAGGATTGTTGGGCATGCCAGGATTGTTGTTTTACATAACATTTGTTCATGGCTGGATTCACCCATTTTTGTAGTTTTTCTTAAAATTATGAGGGATAGAGGTCGCATCATTTCATGTACCAGATAACAATCTTTCCAGTAGTTTTTTTGTGACTATTTATTGTGACAGCGATGGACCCTGCCACTGTGTAAAAAATAGGTAAATGTCATACAGGGTTCTCTAGGATATGGATGGAGGGATTCCAGACTGTCTATTATGATCAGAGAAAATTGGGTTTCCAATTTTCTCTGGCTTTGGTAATGTCTAGATTGGGTTCTAGAGTCCAGAGGCTTTAAAGAGGTTTGGGAGAGTAGAAGCCTCTACTCCTGTGTCCAGGTCTTTCTGAAGACTGTGAGGCTAAGTGTGCAGGCATGCAGAGCCTTTATATTCAATGGTCTAGCAGTAATTCAAGGCTCCACCTGGGAGATAGGAAGAGTAGGAGAAGAAGAAGATAGTGTCAGGGCAGGAGCCGAGGAACGGACAGGCAGGCCTAACAATGTAACGCACTGGCTGACGACAACCACCACCCACAGACCGAAGTCCCTCAGGGCGCGGAGTCTAAGTCCCAGGCTGCCCTTCACCAGGGCCCCTGGTGGGGAGGATGGACTTGACGCAGCCAGGAACCAGGTCGCGGCCCCCGAGACACCTCAGCTGCGGTAATGGCCGCCGCCAATGGCGTGTAGCTGGTGGAAGAGACAAAAGAGTAGTCAGACAGGCCGGGGTCAACAACAACAGGACAAAACAGTACAGGACAGCAGACGAGAATCACAGGTCACGAGCCGGGTTCAGCAACAGAGGGTCAGATCAAAGGAGAATACAAAGAATAGTCAAGTCACAAGCCGAATCAGAATACCAGGAGAGCCACGAGAGTCAGAACAGCGTAATAGTAACACCAAGACACAAGTGCAAAGAGCATGTGCGGGCCACAGGCTTATATGTCATCAGCCACGCCCCCTCTGGGGGGTGGACCTCAGAGACCTGAAGGCATAAAAAGGATTCCCACCATGCACAGCAGAATCCAAGATGGACGCCAGCACATGGAGTAACATAACCTCAGGGAAAAGGTAGGACCTTGACAGATAGAGAGAGAAGGAAGTAGAGCGTGAGATACAGCAATTGTACATGAACACAGGGGTGCCATAAGAAAGTCTGGAAGACCAGACAAAAGGCCTAGGTTTGAGGCCTCAGCAGTGATACTGCAGGAAGAAGCCAGGAGGCTTAATTTTGTTTTACTTTCACGTTTGAAGTAAGGGTGGAAACCCCTGCAAGGGTAACTTTTTTGTTATGTTGGAGTTAAACTTTTACTTTTTTCTTAAATAAGTGGGCCAACAAGCCCTGCAAAGTATTTCCTAGCTTGATTGAACTTACTGGAAATAAACCCCCCAAACATCACAATACATACACACATCCTATGTGGAAACCACACAAACACAGTCCTGCAATAACAAACATGTTATACATTAGTGTCTAAGACTCAGATTGGGTGATCCAGCAGCCGGTACAGCAGCAGTGGTTGTTGGCTGATTTGTGAATATACAGGAGTTTTGCAGTGGTGTAGTGCTTCAGAGACTTTTACAGCAGGCTGTTTATCCTGGGTGCTGGGTTAAGCACTTGCTTTGTGAGTAGGATTCGTTTTTAACTTACTGTTTTAATGAAGTTAGATTGCTGAGCCTTTTTTCTTATTTTTAATTGTTCCATGAGGGAATAATAAAAGAAGCAGGAAGTCATCCTCCTCCCTGCCTACGGCTGCTTTCATACTGATCACTTTTTCATCCATTTGTGAGTTAAAAAAGGGAAAGAAATGCATGACCATTAAAACTTATGGAACTCTGAACAGTTGTGAGTCTGTTGCATTTTTCAAAGTCTTGAAAGCTGCATTTTTGGTGCATGTTTGGTGTAAAAAAACTGCACCAAAACTCACCCCCCCATTAAAATGAATAGAAAACGGATTACAAAAGCAGGGAAAAAGCACCCGTGGCTGCTGTTTTGATGCATTTTTTTGAGTCACATGTCCTTTTTCACAGGTGCATTTCACCAGAAATGGCAAAAATGCGGTGAAAACATAGCAGAACTGCGTTTTTGCTAAGGAGCAGCGTGAAAGTAGTCTATCTACACTATATTGCCAAAAGTAATGGGACGCCTGCCTTTAAACACACATGAAATTTAATGGCATCCCAGTCTTAGTCCGTAGGGTTCAATATTTAGTTGGCCCACCCTTTGCAGCTATAACAGCTTCAACTCTTCTGGGAAGGCTGTCCACAAGAGTGTCTTTGGGAATGTTTGACCATTCTTCC